GTTGTACAGTGTGACCTATTGGAGACTACTCCTTCATGGAGCTCTTTCTTACGCCATGTGTCTGTAGGTCCGTCTCACTCCAAAATAGAGTTAACAGATGATATATACATCTATATAGATGTGTGCTTCTACGTATATAATAGATTGGTGTACAAACAATAATTTTTCAACAGCTTTCCTTTTGCAATTCACATTCGCTGATACTACGACAGGGACTCCATAACTGGTACCCAAAAGTACTTTGCTAAGTTCGAAAATAGTCTCTTCACTTTGAAAAAAGCACTCTACTAGATCATCCTATTCCGTTAAGAGTATCTTTCGACCGCTTCTGAAGCAGGATAATTGTTAGATAAACCTACGTTTTTTTTTTATCTGTAGAGTCCTCACTGCAGGTGGCACAAATGTTCTAGATTACCTCCGCGGCCTTATGACACCTTAAAAAATGTTAATTAAGGCATATGTCGAGAAACAGTTCTTACGGCTTAACGTATTCTTACCTTCGAAGCCTAATGTAAGATTATATCCTTGTGACCTGGATAAAAGAATCATAGTAGTCGCGTAGAGCAAATAGGAAGCTTGTCAACGCTATGTGTCACCTGACCATTGGCAAATTAACGAATTAGAGATGCTTTAACAAAACGAAGAGGAAATGTAGTAAAAAAAAATAGTCAGACCTAGAAGTTACGCCTCGTTTTAGAAAGTATCCCCTGCTGTTTATTATGAGATCCCCTTTTCTTAAATTGTGATGAAAGTTTCACGACCCAAAATAACGAATAAATAAGATCTAGTGATTTGAATCACATATGAGGATACCTATATTTCGCACGATCAGACACCAATTCAGATAAGTTTACTAATATGAAGAATAAAACTTTTATCAAGTAGTCACAACTGTGCTCAAAATATTATTCGTTATGTTCGGCTTAAAATCTACTTTCGTATCTGTCTAAATCTTAGTATTGAAGTTTTTCTAGGCAGCCTTAGGTGTTTTGCCTTAGACATAATCAATACGGTAAACGGTTGCTATGGTGTCACGTTAAATAGTCTTTCTCGACAATGCTTCTTGCGAGCATATTTCTCTATAGCCACCTTTGTCTTTTTTCTATGTTATTAGCTCTTGGATCAGCGCGCAAATGAGCTGCGAACAGCGTGACGCGCCGCTCATACTGTTCATCCTTGTGCACCCACTGTCCGAATCCCGGTGCCGTGACTGATATGAACATCAGTGTGACAATGCAACGTCATGGGGAAAAGATTCAAGATGTACAGGGAATAAAGGAACATATAGTGATAACGTGAGAAGCAGCTAAAGAAAAGCGCCTATAGCGAAATATAACCATATATAAATATATACCGCACAGTGTGAGTACGTTCGAGTTGGAATGCGGTGCCAGAACCCAAAACACAGAGGCGTCACTGTGCTTTTCCCTTTTTTTGCTTTTCGTCCAAGCAAGAACCAAACGGCGAGAGCGAGGCGGCACAGAAGGCGTAAAGACTGCCCGCAGTAGTGCTACGGACATTTTTACGAGACGAAGAGCTTTAAAGGAACGCGGAAAGCTTTGAAGTTTTCTATAACACGGCTGCGTATACTGAAGGCTTGTTCCCTTTATGTACTAGTTATATGAAGGAGGACACCGCGTGTGGGACCGCGGCCGTCTTGGTGATTTTCGCCGGAAAGCATTCCGTAAACGAGCGTTGCCCTGCTGCGACTTCTATCGTGGGTCCTATCCAACCTTCAGTATCCGTGGCGAGCAGTAAGTCCTATTCCAGTGTTGGGGACGAGAGCCTTACTGTCGCTATTGTTGTTGTTATTGTCTTCCCAGTCTTTGATTATTACGGCCCATAAAATTTAGAGCAGTAATGACGATCCAGCAGGGCGCTGCTCCTCCAATTTAATTATATTGGAAGTGCCAACATTGAAACGCGGCGGTTCACGGAGCTAGGGGTGGGTGTTTGGGCTTGCCGAGGGGTAAGCGAGCAACTTGAAGCGCCCCGACGACATCACGACGGCGCCGCCACCTCCGCTGCTATCGCTATGGCTGCTGCTCACATTGCAGCGATATTGTTGTTGTTGTCGTAGATAATTTATCATCCCACCACTTCTGCCATGTTCACCGCTAGCCAACACTGCCGTCAAAGAACGGATGCGAACATAGCAAACCCGGGCGACACCATGAGGAATTGGGAAAGGGTAAGTAATGTTATTATTTTAGGTGTAAACGAAGTAAAGAACAGCACATTGTATTGATGATTCACGCGCACCTATATTGATCTAGGATAATTTCTAAGCCAACTTTTATGTCCATAGATTCCATCAAACGCAGCGGTAACTTGGTCGCCTGCAACTTCAAGAAGTCAAGGTTGCGCATGTTAATTCTTTTCAAAACGCAGTTTCAAAAGTGTACCGGAGTATTAAAAGATTGGCTCAAATGAAGTAATACATGAAGCATCCATGAAACTAAAGACATTTTTAATTTTAATGTAATTATCTGCTTGTATAATAATACCTATTTTACACTAATTTAATCGACGCACTTTAGGGAACAAAAAGCCGTCTTATAGTCATGCTGATACCGAACTAGATGCGACTGGCTTTTGACTTTGATATAATTTAATGGTAGCTTAGCCCACAGCGGCCAAGCTTTTTAAGAGTGTTTTTTAGGTGATAGGTTTTCGTTGATCTTGTTTGTGATACAAACCTGACCGTACATAGATAAATCACTCGTTAGGGTTCGAAGAGTTTGGATACTGTAATACTAATGGTGCGCACTTAATTTCTAGGCAGGTAATATCTACTGTCTCACAACCCGGTACATCGATCTGGTTAGTTAACCGGTTTATGGCACCATTGATGGCTTGCATTGCCGAGGCGGTCAACGTGTAATACGTGACATGTAATCATGACTGATATCAAAAGTGTATTGTAAAAATCGAAATGCCCAATGAACGCGTTCTTCTAAAACGCACTTTGCTTTAGCCATTTTTTGGTTTCATGTATTGTTCAAAAAATCAAGGAACAACTCTCATTTAGGCTGTTCGGATATCGCAAAATATAGCGGTGTACCGCAAGAACATGCAGAAGCATTGCTCTAGTTGAAATCATTTGTAAAGTGACCCAATTCTATATATGCGTACCTAGAAAACGCCATGTTGGCTATCCGACAGCCTATATGTCGGAAACATTTTTGAGACATATTTGTGCATTTTTTAAAAATCAATTCACGAAGATGTATTAATGGGACAAAAGACATTACAAAATATCTATATAACGTTTGCTCTGAACTTTAGAATAGGCAATAAACGAGATATGTCTGAATCACTTAACGCCACTTAGACATCTATGGTAGGCCAACGGAAAGCGCAACAGGCATCAAGCCAGCTTTTGTATGTTCACCCAAAAAATGTTACACCGAAGTGCCTCATTTGGCGATGTCTAGTGAAGTCGACAGTCGGACGCGCTTATTAAATGACTGATCGTCACTTTATGTCAACGCCGCGACGCCAGCTACACTCGCTTAACCCGTATAGGGAAAGGCAGCTGGGATGACGGCACTCGAAGGCACTACAGGATCGCGCTGTATAGGGAGTAGTAAACATCTCAGACAAGATTGAGAATCCATGAGAATTCTGAGAAAGTGGCTTTTCCGTTTCATATATTCCATGCAGCAGAAAATATATTTTTAGAAGTAACGCAGTAAAGATCTAGTTTCATAAATGATATGCACTAGCATAACATTTCTGCCCGCTAGAAAAGTATTATCCGAGTCAACTTAAGAATCCATCGTTGGCAGGATTTGTCCCGATTCCAAGACAGCTGTGGCAGTATTTGAAATGGTCCTGGAAGTAATACGTTTCCGGAACGGTAACAGAGACTGAACTAGTTAGCTTCGATCCTACATGGGCTTTGATGCAAAAGCCATTATGATTAATCACAATCTATTGTTCGTGCTAATCCAATATGAACAACCTAGTAAACTGCTGGGTTTTTCGGGTTTATATAACAGTTTAAGAGACGGCGTGGGTAGAATCCCGTATTTCCAACTGTAAGGTCTGAGATCCGATTTCGTTAGTTTTTCAGAGTATTGGATCTTCAAATTTAGCTTAGCGCTTTTCTTTGATTAAGCATACTGTTAGGGATATGTCCAATATTGATACCTAATATGTCACGGACATTATTACGCATCGTGCAAGTATGAGCGTTGAGAGTTGTCAGCCTTTGCAAAGGGAGACCAGCACGGCGAGCTGATCTTCTCAAATCTTACTCCAGTCATTGCAATTGGTATTGGACGCACATAGTAAAGTGATAGTAACAAACAGTGGTAGATTTAGAGTTTTACCGCGTATAATTCGTACCAGCATCTTAGTGCATTGGGAAGCATGTTATTGAATAAACGTAGCCAATAAGCAATAGTCATACGTGATAACATTGTGTTTAGGCAATTTCATAGGGAAACGAGTGTACTTCACCAAGCCGGGGTTGTAGCAGCCCTTAAACGGTACATTGTGACCCAACTCGGAACAAGAACATATATAATCATCTCTGACTCTCTTTTAATCGCTGGCGTTCTTTTAGTGATAACAAACGTGTAACTTGAAATATCGATGCATTGCCAGGCATTGATTCTAAGACCAATACGGCTGTGTTTCCTACTCCTGGTCCAATATCTCTTACGGGAAAAGTGATAAAATGGTTATTCAGTTGACACAGAAAAAGAAAGCATACTGGTATCCTCTTCGCCTATCAGGACAAAGCAAGCCTATAGCACACAGTATAGGAAAGAGCTCTATGAATACCGACCCGTCTTTATTGAATGCGCCACTTAATTGTGTGACGTTACGTCGTGTGTACACGTGGTCAGACCGCACGGTGATTTGTTTGAGTACGTGATTTTGGTGTCTATATATGAATATTGTTATGGCATGTAGCATTCTTCGTAATGGGAACGTACATCATCGTGAAGCCTGCGGTTGCGCGATACAGTCCTGTACTAGACGCAGTTTTATAACATTTAATCTATAGTAAGTACAACTTACGTACCCGAAGTATGTTGAACGATGTGCAGAAATTATATACAGACACTCTTTCCATGATAGCAGATATATATGTACGTTTATGTTCATAATACATCTCTGAATTATCAAGTTAGATGCGGCAAGTGGCCATACGAGTTAAGCAGCGTGCAATCTGTTTTGCAGTGGAAACGCCTTTTGCGTTTTTTTAAATCTTGTCATGCACCTCTCGTTGCAGATTTTTGCTATTCAAGCGCTATGTATATACGAAAAATGCGAAGCTTACATTTGATATCGGTTGCGCATATTAGCTGTTATTTGCGTTGACGCCCTTTCTTGGTATTTTTTTGTTTCGAGTCTCGAGGGTACCTTGGAGAATATTGCTAATGCGAGCAAAAAACAAACTTCAATAAATTTATCTTCGATTATCGGTACAATTCCAGGAACACCGCAGTTGCAAACACTATAGGCAGCGCTGCGTACTTACAAGCGAGAGCGTGGCGCAACGCCACCTCTCTTCACCCAAAGAAACTTGGTGAGCTTTTGGAGAAATTTTTAAAAATGCCTACTCCCAATGCCTTGAGGTACCTAAACAGCCTCTTTGGCCCCCAACTCAGACAATTCGCTCTCGTTAAGCTTTTACTGCAACCGCTGTATTTTATGCATTTGACCCTCGCACCATCTTTTCATGTCTCTACAAGGACGGGCGGAAGCGATCGGTAAGACTGCGGTAGCAAAAATTACCATAATATAGGTGGCTGCGCCAACCTTTGAAGTTGCTCCTATCCTAAGGTGGTAACCTTAGAACTCGTGCTGAACTGTAACGCATGGTTAATATTTACAGCTGCTGTACAAATGATCATGAATAATTTAGAGAAACTAACAGTGAAGCTTAACTCGACTAAATTTATGGTAACGGAACTCGAAATGAGGCTCACAAGCCGAAGATTTGGGATATTATGGTGTGCGTAGCTCACCGTGTAACTACTACGTGCGGTGTATGTGATATCGTGCAGATTAAAAACGGTGACTTGGCCTGTCTACTCAGAACGCAAACATTTGAAGCTCTTTCTTTTTTACTTTTGACAAAGTTAAATTACCTTTTTTTGACGTATACTTGATTACAATATTTTTGTGCTTTAACATTCAGCAAAAAGGACATATTGTCGTTTCCGTCACTGACACCCATTCCATAAACTGATAGCTTAATGGCATTTCTGTCATGACAACGCAAATACTACGACTACCATCACTTAATAAGTAACCTCTATTTAGCACCTGGTGCTAATACAATGCGGACAGCAGCAGAGCATTCATATGTCCTTGTTTTTTTGTTCTTGAACATGCTCGGTGGAAAACTGAGTTCCTCAATCCTCTAGAAAGAGACGAGGCCTGTCGTCTCTTTCCCTGCGCTGCGAAAGCAGCGCCTCCACGACCTCCTGCCCTTTCCACCATTCGTTGAGAAACACTCGTCAGTCCTTACCAATTCTTCGGCTTGAACGCTTCGTGTGGTGAGGGATTACGGTGAGAATCATCGCATGGCAAGCGCTACAGCGTGCACTACTTCTGACTAACTAAACAAAGATTTAGAGACATGGTATATTGTTGCTCGGTAGAGTTCACGATTTAAGCGAACCTGCTGTCTTCGTTATCGTCGTCAATGGAGTTGTATATGGGGACTGTTGGAAAGTTCACTACGTAGGTCGGTAATTAACATGGAATAATCGCAAATAAAGGTGAATTGGGACACATGTTAGATACATACTAATGCTTCTGAGATCCTCTCATCAGTGAGTCATCACGTGAAAGAAATAGGGGCGCAAGCGCCCTCGTACGGATACGCGCGGTTACTCTGTGTGAGCCATGTGATTCATTGTGCTGTTACGCATTCAATATATAATGAACAAATTTAATGGAAATAATACGACGTTTCGTTTATACGACTAAATGAAATATCAATATAGTTAATAATGTCAACTCGCATACGTTAGTGCTCCTACTTCAACGATGCATGAATTAACAAAGGGCGCCAGCTCATTGACAGTCACGATATCGTCATTATTAGTTGAGCTTTGTTGTACCCATCTGTGTCCAGTGCAACTTGGTGTAAACTAGCGGCTGCCTAATTTTCTATTGGATACGTTTGACAGAAGACATGCTCGTTATACTCGTGCGGTAAACGTGTCACACTATGCTCTCCATATGCTCGTCTACAGGGATATTGTTTATTAGCATTGTTCTAAAAGATTGCTGGCAGGCTTCCGGCTCCTGTAGAGAGCGAACATTCGTATCTAACCTGTAAGAACTCGAAGGAGTTTCGAACGTACGTGAAACGCAGAGTGCAAGTACTATACAAACAAGCAAAAAAAAAAACACAAGCGTTATTTGTTGTGTCCAAAAACGATGAAAGCGGTCTATCGCACGAAAACTGCCCCACGAACCTAAAAGGCCGATATCTATCAGAATCTGTTAACCATATGACCGACGATGGGTCATAAGTTGTTCATTCTTCTCATTCTATTCGATATTGGTGAGTGTGTTCGAATTTGGCAGACATGTAGAGGTCGCGTTAAAAACATATTTGTAACAATAGCAACACAGACATCAAAAAGCACCAGAAGTAGCTGGCGGGGCTGTACATTGAGAAAACAACAACAACAGACAAAATGGCAATGGAAAAGTAAGAAAATTGCAACAGTAGTATATTTGAATATGTCACTTTGAGGATTTTTGCGTCGTGAAGAATATTGGTCTCCTTTATCTGTTTTAAACATGTACTGTTATAGCCCATATAGAATCAAATTAGCGAGTTGTCATCACTCGAATGGTTGCTTAGAGAAGACAAGCCGCAGATTAAGAAACGATCGTATCTTTCCTTTTGTAAGTTTATAATGTACATAGATTCTGTTTATCGGCTAATCGTAGAAGACCGATGAGTAAACAGATCAGCTTAAGCAAAGAGACCACGTGTGGTTGTCAATGAGTCCGAGGTAATTGAGTCGTCCGACTGGTACATGTTTGGTGACGTAAGTTGAATATCTAGCAGGTGCGAGACAGAATGTACTTCTAGACATATATGTACTTCTGGTTGTCTATCCTGGCTGCAGTTCGTTGCGGCGCTAGTGAAGGCTAGCAGACAGGCTGCGGAGACCAGAAACGTATACTATGTATGGATGTTAACAGTGTCTAGTCAACTCTAATGGTAGGGGCAAGGACAGTAACAATGTGATATGAATACCGCTGTGGTTTCGAAACCTGGCCGATAGTTGGAATCTCTTCATCCTAAGGGATTTTCTTGCTTCCGGCAGTAGCTGGTGTACGAAGTCGGTAGTGATGGACTTTGCCGATGTTGTCATTGAACAATGAGGTGATGTTTCATGCCGATGCCGGACGTAGAATTCGAAGTATGTAATTTAATCAGTAGCACTACTATAGACTCGACAGCTACAGCACTGTCGATTCACGGCAAAACCCTTTTCTAGCACGTCCGATATACAGTAGCTAATTCTGAATATACAAGATCATACTACATCGAAAGCAATTTACGACCTCTGAAATTCAGGTGGTTAGAGGGGAGAACGGCCTTAAATGAAATAGGTTGGAAGAAAAAGAAACACAAGTTCCTGTTTGAAGCAAAAGGAGCCGAAGTGCATGTTTGAAGCGAGCAGACATCATAAGAAGTATAGGTACTACTCTACAAAGCATGTATATCGGATATATCACGGCGTGTATGAGAAAAATATTGTGTAACTAATAGAAGCGTTTAAAAACAATTTGCGCGCTTTCAGTGCTCCATCATATTTTGTAGGCTTTACGTTCAAAAACAAACAAGACCAATTAGTAATAATGATAAATCAACACATTAGAAACAGTGTGCTAACTGAACCTTCCTTTTATCGTTAGATGTTATTTTCGAGTTTGCTAAATTGTGAAATTGGTACTTCCGAATTCTCCTAATAGCAAAATGATCAGCACCGGAGTCTGATCAACTGTACGACATCTGTGCAACAGGATAAGTTGAGAAGAAGTCAAACGCCTGGTGTATCAGCTCTGGCGTAGTTCGAAAATATCTCGTCACAATGCTCGAAGATGTACGTGTCCGAAACATTGAGGTTATGCACATGATACGGAGCCTCTGCGACTTTTATGTCAGGCACACTTTATATGTGAAAACAGTGTCCTATAACATGCATGGCTGTTTGGCCTTTTCTTTATCCTCACCTTCTTGTCTATCTGCCTAACTTTTATCTAACCTATCTGTCTAACTTTTATGGCTCAATACTTACTTTCTAACAGATCGAGCTACATTAGAACTGTGTCAGTATTATGTGGACGGTAAGTTTTACAGTATGAATGCATCGATTGGTCATAGGAGTAGTGAATGTTCGAATAAGCTAAACAAATCCATGGTACATTAGCTGCATGTTAAGGCTGCTACATATCCATTAGGGCAGTCTCATATTCAGCAAATATATACACGACAATCGATTAACGTCCGGACTCTGTTCACAACCGGCCCACGGGTATATTGCTATCCTAGTTGCTACCTAGGCGCTTCACGTTTATATCAGCTCTTGTACATGTCGTACCAATCAATGCAGATATGATATCTAGAACCGATATTATGTATCCACGTTTTCAGCCGTTTATAATTTAGGGGATCTATTAGATTTTATTATACCAGCTTGACAGTCTGTTGATGTGTCGCAAAATTGCAAACAGGACTTACCGTTGCCTCACTTAACTTCCACTGTTGAATAAAAACCAAAGCGTTATTGCCGAATCGCTTATGTATGCCGCTTGTCTTATCCAACCTCGTATCAAAAAAAAAAAGAAGCAAAACACTCATCTCGAAATATCCTATGGTTATAGCAGGCACGAAATACATCCTTCTTTCTTTGCATGTGGCCTCTATGTAATAACTATTATTAAAGCATTATTATCATGTGTTGTTATTTTTTATCTTCTTCGATATCAGGCAACCTGAACGCGTCGTCGCTCAGGCGCCCGCGGCTCTCGATCGCCTAATCACTGGCGTAAGAGTGCAACGGCCGCTCATGTGCACTAGCTATCTACCTTCCTGATTTTGTCCGCTTCCCTCTTATCTATGTTGTATCGCTTTATAACAAGATTTTGTTTATTCGGTCGACTAGCCAACTCTTCCATAGTTTTAGCTTACCCCGTCTCCCGCCATCTGTGGCAATTTCAGTTCCGCTTTTGCTGCTCTTGCGGCCGGCGCAGCTGCAACTTTACGGCCAGTTGGGAACGGAACCACGGTCGTCCCGGACGCCGCAACTGTTTGTGCCTTCAGCGGCTGCCTCGGACCCACGGCCACAGCACCGTCCACATAAACTAAGTGGCAATGGCTTAATACGTACGGGTTGCTTAGACATTTTTCCGTCTTCTGTGCCTTAGTACAACTAAGGCCAAAAAAGCGTCTGAGAAAGTGTGTGAGAGAGAGAGAGAGAGGGGGAGAAGAGAGAGATGCGAAGCAGTACCAAGCTCTGATGGAAACGAGCGCACAAGGCAGACTGACACTAGCAAAATAAAGACAACAGCGAATACTAATACAGAAAGATGACGGGGCAGGAGAAGTATTTGTATTTAGCGTGAAATTGCTTAAACGGAATCCGATAATAGGATGGCACATGTCTGTTGTTCGTGGCAGTAGCAAAAGACGCACAACAGAGTTAGTCCTCTATTACTGGCCATTGCCTTTTCTATCTATCTATTCCGTGTCTATTTGGACCGATGACGCGTGGAGCACCGGCAAATCTGGTCGCGATACGTCCCTAACCCCTTCGTTTGGAGACGTTTGAAAGAGCCACCAGAACGGCAGAAATCCGTTGACTGAATCGGTGTGTCTCGACCCTATCTTTGTATCCGAAAGATTCGTGTATTGTTCGCCTTTTTCACAGGCTGCTCCCTATCGTATTTCTGGCTTGTGCATGTGCCGGGAAGAAATGGGACGGGGTGTGTATGCTACAACAGCGGCCAACCAGATGTCTACCATATCTCTTCCAATACGCTGCCAGTGAAACTGTTACGCGCTATGATCGGCGGCACAACAGAGGCTATTCCGTTTTATATCTCCCTTGTACCCTATCGTCTGTCCGCTAGTTCACTGCTGCGGAGGGGACAAGAAGGGGTTACTATCGAGGTAACTTCACTAGGAAAAACGGTACGAGGAACGGAATAAAGGATAGTTATACTTTGGACTTCACTTCGATAGTGCTAGATGGTTCGCCCAACGCAGACAGACAAGCAAGTCGACTGAGCTGACGACGACGGCGTACGACGCTGAAAGAACGTTAGTACACACAGAGAGAACAATAGAAATACAGGGAAATAAGGATAGTGGTTGGCGATGTGGTGACGACTGTACTCTTTGGTCGATCACTTTTGGGATGCTATGAGAAAGGCATGATCGCTGTAAAGAAGCAAGAAATTTAAAACGAGAAGGAGGCAGAAGCATTCAGTAACACCGTTATTCGAACTTAAGAACTGACCCAGGAAAAGCCTGCAGACCAACAGACCGGCAGGCTGTTCAAAGACTCCTTCAAGTCTTTCTCCTGGAGCGGAAGTATATGTACATCCATGTGACGGAATGTTGAGATTTATTAGCTCGGAGCCAGAAGGATCAGGTCCAACAACATTGGCCTATTGCTCTAATGGTATCGACTGGCCAGCAAGTAAGTTCATTGACGGTAAGAGAGAAGGTCAGCTTGCGAGTGAAGTGAGGCCAAATCGGGCGGCGGGCGGCGGGACAGCTAATGCACAGCAGTGAGTTTTGCCAAACGCTCATCTGAAAAAGGCCCACAAACTCAGACAACCATCCTATTGTAATCGTCTTCCAATGGTCAACGTCCACTTGTATTCGATAAGCTTCCGGAATCACTTTCGTTTTGGATAACAAACCCGATCCGTGTGATGTGAAATAATCTGACTGTCAGATGCAACGGAATAAACTTAGTGAAGTCGTCAGAGCTAACTGTATGCGCTTGAGTTCGCTGGCATGCAGTATTTGCTGTGAATGGAAGGAAACCTAGGACGGATTGCTAGCTTGAGTAAGTTTTGTGTTGGTGTCAGCGATTTCCGAAGTTATCTTTTAGATGACTTTGGAAACAGTTGATTTAGGAAAATTCATCAAAGGATCTGTAATGGATTACTTACTATATGAAATAAACGTATAAAACAGCAATGTCTGAGCGAAAGCGCGAGATGTTGAGCTAAAAATAAAAAAAAAGATTTTAAAAAACTTTATGCAACTTGTATATCACTCTTATTAGGTTTTTTTTTACGACGAAAGTATCATAGGAAAGGTTGTCGTGCTTGCAAAGTGTCCACACTGGTGCACCTTTGCCTTATAAGGATTTACGCTTGATTGAACGAGCTATTACTACAGTAAGTTATTTACATAACTATTGGTTATTGATGCTTCTTCACGCTATATCATCTGTCTAGCCTTAGTTCGATTCATATTTTCATTAAAAAAAATCTTCTAATAAACTTGATTTTACAGATGGTCTC